AGAGAGAGAGAGAGAGAGAGAGAGAGAGAGAGAGAGAGAGAGAGAGAGAGCATATAGAACATTAATTAGTTGAAATTATGAATTCACTTATTTAATCAACAATTATTCTTTTGAGTTCCAATAATCAGAAAGGCACTGGATTTAGCAAATAAGACATGATCTCTGTTTTCGTAGAGGACATTTGTTGAGGACAAACTATGGCCAGGTGTTTTATATATCTTACATTAACTCTACGAAGTGGATATTTCTTATCATTTCTCCTTTTATATTTGAGGAAGCTGAGCATCATAAGGGGGATAGATTGCTCAAAGTCATGCAAATAGTAAATGGCAGAGTTAGACCTTAAAACCACCTTGTTATCTCTAAAGTTCACTACATTATGGTGCCTGTATCTACGAGGAAACAGAAACACACACAATTATCTAGGATACAGATCAGAAACTGTAAAAAGTACTAAGAGAGGATCTGTGACCTGCCATGGGAGCACAGAGAAGGGAGCGGTTCAGTTGGTCTTTGGGTAACCTCTGGGAAGGCCTTTCAGAAGCTGGCACTAGAGCTAAGCCTTAGAGGTAAGTGGGGAAAAGCATTTTAGGCAGAGACACAGAGGTGCAACTCACCTGAAGGTTGAAGAAACAGTTTACAGTCCCACATGCTAGAGTGGTGTTTCTCACACTTGGTGTATTTATATCATAGTTTTGATTTTAGAATTTTTGGCAACATACCTGAATAATGCCATGGTTAACAATCATTACAAAACAGTGAGTCTATTTCAAAGGCTTTAAAGTTAGGATCCTGGGCTTTGAATCCAGGCTCTGCCATTTTCTAGTTATAGGAATTCTGGAAAACCACTCAAGCTTTGTTTGGTCAAATGGTAATAATCATGAGGGGCAATTTTAATAAGCATATGAAGTGATACACATAAACTGCTTAGCTTAGTGTTTAGCACAAAATATACACACAACAAGTTGGGTTTTATTAATATCACATCACATATCTATAAAAACATTTGGTTATTGCAGGATTCCTTTTGCATCATGGTGTTTGCAATAATTTTGATCTGGAATATGCCCTTAGGAATCATGGGCTAAAGGCTTGGTCCCTAGCCCATGGTACTGTTGGAATGTGGTGGAAACTGTTTTTGGGGGGGCACCAGGGATTGAACCCAAGGGTGTTTAACCACTGAGTCACATCTCCCAGCCCTTTTTATTTTTTATTTTGAGACAGGTTTTTGCTAAATTGTTCAGGGCCTTGCTAAGATGCGGAGGCTGGCTTTGAACTTGTGATCCTTCTGCCTCAGCCTCCTAAGCCACTGGGAGTACAGGTGTGCACCACCATGCCTGGCACATGGTGGAAACTTTGAGAGGTGGGACCTCGTATGAGGTTTTAGGTCATTTGGAACATGTCCTTGAAGGGGACTGTGGGAGCCCAGTCTCTTCTTCTCTGTTTTTCACTCAGCTAAGAGGTAATCAGCTTCCTCCTCTAAGCACTCCTGCTTAGGGGAGGAAGGATATACTGCCTTGCCACAGGCCAAAAGCAATGGAGCCAACCAACCATGAACTGAAACCTCCCAAACTGTGAGCCAGAATAAATATTTCCTCTTTTGAACTTGACTATCTCAGGAATTTGGTTATAGTAATGGAACACTGATTAATACAGCATACTGAACCATATTGTATCCTAAACTAGCATATTCTGCCATATTATATATTATTACTTTTTTCTATATACTTAGAAAATATACAGTTTAGTTATAAGCTTTCTTTCCTGCTGTCTTAATGTTTTGTTAGACCCATTATCTTCTACTTTCAGCAAATAGAATAATTTTCTATGTTGCATTGCAGGACCCCTTAGCTTAATGTATAATTTGGCATATACTGCACATATTGAAGCATAGCAAAAATATATTTTACTTACTGATCATTTCAGCAGCATATGGGTGGGCCAAACAGCATGCTTTGGACTAAATAGTTGAGAACAAACTATATGGAGTGTGTGTAGGGGGCATATGGGAAGAGGGAAAGAGACAGAAGTACATGATGGTCAGGTTGGAAAGGGACTAGAACATACTGAGCTAATGGAAAGCCATATAGGGGAGGTGCAGAAATGTATCTAGAAAAGTAGCACACTCACGTTTGGATTTTAAGAAGATAATTAGTGCATCCTTGAGGATTGCAGTATAAATCTATTGACAAACTCTACATCCTTCAAAACTAAGTGACTTTGGGAAGGGTTCTTGATCCCTTATCTTTGCATTCCAGCATCTAGTATAGTATTTGAAGAAGAGAAGAAAATGCTGACTAATTATTGGTGATCACGTAATTTGTTTGAAAGAATTACCAGGAGTCCACAGAGTGAATTGTGATCAGCAAACCGAAATGCATTGTTTTGTAATTTATGTAGAATTCCCGATACAGCCTTCAGAGTTTGCCAATATATCCAGTGATTAAAGACATTAGGCCAAAACAAATCTTCCATCTTTGCTTTCATAGTTCAGGAACTATTACAGGAATAGAGTTTACCCATGAACCAAACAAAAATGTTGCTATAAATCACTGCATTAGTTGCTGGGTTAAAGGCTCTGCCCGTATCATGAAAAGCAAAGAAGAAATGTTGCCAAAAAGAGACATGCTCAGTTGATTTGACTACACCAATGTGTTTAATTCCAGGCTTTAGTCAAAACAGGTCTAGGTGACAGACTCATTCCTATGATCATTTGATTGTGACCTATTAAAAGAGTTAATTGTTTGATTTTTCCTGTTCTTAACAGTATTTCTATACTTAGAACATTGTATATGGTTTGCGGCTTTATTGAAAACTGTGAATCTATCTTTCTTCATTTTTCTCTGATTCTGTTATTCCTGTATATCCTTGGGCTTTTGCAGAGACTCATAATAGCCAAAATTTAATAGAATTCTTAATTTTCAATTAAAATTCTAATAAAGCTTTTCTAAACTGACACACCAGAAGTAGCAAATTTTATATTCATGTTTAAAAAGAATATCACCAGCACCAAAAAATAAGTAAAAATGATAAAATAATCAGGAGTACTTAGAAATTTAAAGGAATCAGATGACATGAAATACTGGCTTACCTTTTGTAGATACTTCATTTTCTCCTCAGATTCCTGAATTCTTAGGGTGTTAGCAATAAAATCTGTAACCTCTAGAGGAAATAAAGTCAAATTCAATCTGAAAAATTTTATCATGATTTTATAATAACAAATTGATATAAAACTGGATAAAGGTTAAAAGAGTAGAAAACTACACACAGATATATGTGTTAATACTGTATGACCAGATTCATAAGTAACTGGAGACTGGATTAATTAGCTATTGCTGCAGGGAACCTCTAATCTGTTTAGATGATGAGTAAGCCTGAGTCAGGGCAAGAAAGAGTCTGTAGAAGATATTCAGGTTCTACATTTCTATTCAACCTGTTATAGAAATTTAGGTATTAGAAATAGTATGGTCTCTGATGCAGGGTCTTAGGTATGCAATTCAGAAAGTTATGCTAATATGTAAAATTGTACCTTTGTACTTATTACCCATTTTTCTGAAGAACCTAGGCATTCCAGATGTTGAAAGGCATTAAAGTTGGTACTTACTCTTATTCTCAAAGGGAATATGTTGGAGGTGACTTTTCTCTAAAAAATATAAAAAGTAAAGAAATCATTGGAAAAAACCACAACGTAAAAGGTGTCTGAATTTTCTATCCCCTTAAAAACTACATAATAACAGTTTTCACATCCTAGGCCTCATGTAAGGCTTACTGGTTAGTGAACTTGATACTAAAGTTGACTTTGCTTTCACCTTAAACTAGTATCCTTAAAATCCTTTTAGCCAACATATACTATTTCCTCAGATTGTTCCATATTGCTTGTCAAACAGATGCCATAATTTAAGGGGCATTTAACATGTATTTTTAGATGTAATAATGATACCAGCGATCCTTTTAGGGTGGAAGGATCTCTGGCAAAGTTCACGAACTACTTATACATGTGTTATATGTATATGCCTTTTACTCGTTTTGTACCTTTCAGACTGAAATGATTTTTATTTTAGCATTAGGTTGGGAAGTTTCTCCTGGAAGGGGATCTAGTGTCTTCTAGGTAAGTTGTGGTACTGGAGGAATTACCTCTGAGAGGCGGCTACTTTACTCACCAGCCACAGAATTCTTAGTGGGCCGCGCCACCGGCAGACGCTGACTGCTGCCTCTGCTCAGCACCAGCTGAGATTCGTTAGTGGGATACATGGACGCTCCGAGCCAAAACTGTTTAGCTAAGTTGGCATCCTGTTCCGAGCAGCCAGCGAACACCAGTAATCCCGGAGAACAAATTTCGTGAGACTCCTTCCCGTTACTAGAGTTGCTGCAGGGCCCTGTTTCCATGGCAACGCAGGACGCTTCTCCAAGCTCCCTCACCCCACCCTCCGGACTCGGCAAGTTGGTACCAGCCGCCGGCGGAAGCTCTGTTTCTTCCCTAGGTGTTGGGGTCCAGCGCGAGCTCCTGGCCCATTTGAAGCCCAATTCTATGGTGATCACAGGCTTTGGGACCGCCGAGCCTTGGAGTCTAGATGCGAGTCACAACTTTTGGATGCGTCCTGTCAGAGTCAGTGGGGGAGCACTTTAGCCTTTTATATATAGCTTCGGGCAGCCTTCCACCCTTCTCCCCCTCCCTACCAAAAGATATCTTTATAAACTTTAAATTATTTGATTCCATCTCCCCAATCTCCCCTCCCAGACCAGACTGCAGAGGTTTAGCACCTGCTACTGCAGAAGTTCTGAGACCTGCGTTGGAAAATTCAATAGGATAGCTAGTAGCTAGTATTTTAGCTAGAGGCCTGGACTGGACAGATAGGTAAATGATTACTTAAAAAAGGGATATATCTAATGAGTGGGCCTAGTTCTTTCATGAAATATAATGAATTTTTTTGTTAATATATCCTTATGAAAGTATCAACAACTGCGAATAACTTTCCCGGGGAATTTTTGTTAATCTAGGAACAATTTAACCATTTCAGCAGTAAAAAAATTGTGATTATTATGGCAGGAACTGAGATGGACATCATAAAGCCAACTGAGGAAAGGAAATGGACAAATGATTATTATCCACAATTTATATCTTTAAGGCACTTTATTTTTTCAAAATATTGCTAACAATATAGTCTCATAGGTCAAAGATCGATAGCCACAAGTCAATAACAGATCAACCAGTTAAAGAAAAAGAAAAACATGTAAAATAATTTTGGTTAAGAGCCTGAAGGAATATTAAGAAATACACATACATACATTATTACATATATTGTATATTTAGCAACTAAATGCTATTTTTCTTGGTTGAGCAACCGGTAAGTAGGCAATGGATAACATCAGCCATTCCAACAGACCTCTCCTCCAAACACATTGATGATGCACAGGCAGCTCATTTGGATGAATCCCAATCTTTTTACCTGGCCGTGTGGTTAGTGATTGGTACTATTAGCAATCAGCTAACTACACTGCCTAGTAACTAGACTCACAGAGAAATAACTTCAGTCTTAAGTTGGTGCCTCCATTTGTTGTGATAGGCAAATCATTGGTTACATTGGAGTTCACTTAGTTGCTGGCTTGCTGAATACGTTACTAATGGAAAATAGTAATGAACCCTAGCATACAGCCGGAACTGTTACATGGGGGAGGGGTTCTCCAAACAGTTTAAATGTCTTTTCTGAAAGCCTTTAAACTCCGCGCATTTCTTCCTTGCACGAGACCATACCATCCTGGTTGGACTCCCTAGAGATAGCTAACGATTTAACTATCTGGAGAGCAGCCAGCCCGTTCTGTGGGTTTACTCGCACTTTGGCAACTTGCTCCCGGACAAACGCTGACGCATCGCACTTCCAAGCGCTGCTGACTCCTCTCCAGACTCCGCGGGGCAGCGGGTGATGCTGTGCCTTGTTTTGATGGCAGTGGAGTTAGTGATTGTAAGCACCATAGTACAATCAGCTAATTACACTGCCTACAAACCGAGCACCGGGCGCCCGCCGCTGCAGCTCCCGGATGGTCCGCAGTGCCGATGTGGAGTTCCCGAGCCGGCTGGCCGCCCGCGGGGACCGGGCCCCCGCCACCCCCCACTGCACCTGAGCCGACACCTGACAGGGACTGGGCGCGAGGCCCTGAGCCGGGGTCCTCCGCGGACGCCTCCAGGGTTGACCCGCCCGCGGGTCGTAAGGCCTGCGAGCAGCCGGGCCCAAGGGTCCTGCATCCCCAGGGCCGCGCCCCCGACCCCAGGTGACCCGCGGGAACGCCAGGTTCCCCCTCCCCGCGGTCTCCCGCACCTCCCAGGGCCTTCCTGCTCAGCTTCCCTTCCCCTTGGCTTCTCCGGGCCGGTCTCCCACTTCTCTCACGCCGGGTCTAGCCCGCATCAGAAAACTTCTCTTCAGTTCCCAGCCCAGACCCTAGAGCCGGCTCCTAGCCCCGTGCGCCCCGCAGCGCCGAGCCGCCAAGTGACCGCGGCGGTGGCTGTGGCGGGCCAACCGCCCTTGGAATCCCGCGGGCCGAGGGGGCGGGGCGGGCGCGAGGTGTGGGGAGGCGTGGGGGAGGGGAGGAGGCTGAGAGTTGGGGCTGTGGGCGGCCCCTCTGGGGGCCTGAGGAGATGGAGGAGGTGGGAGCACAAATTCTTGATGAGTTTCCCTTCCTGGTGTAGCTGTAAGGGCAAAGAGCTCCTTCTCCTTTCCCCGTTCCCCCCAAAGTTCCACAAAGCCCACCCAGTTTTCATGCCCATTATGATCTGAGAAAACAGCTTCCCAGGTACCTCAGAGGGTAGGCTTGAGTTTTCCAAGCGGAGGTAGGCCTCGGTGTCCCCTGACACGCAGGAGAATTATGTTTGAGGTGGCCATTGCACCCTTGCTTAACTCTGGGGATTTGGGCTGTGTTCTTAGAGGGCCATACAGTGAAGTGAGGGCTCCATTTTCTAGTCAATAGCTACCCAGCCAGCTCCTTAGATCAAAGTGTGGTCCTTTTGGGATCAAAGCCTAAGCTTTGTACTCCTCAAGGTCAACCTCAGGCAGAACTACTAGCACATACTTGTTTAAATACTTGTTACATGTTCAGCATTTGTTTTACCCTCCACCTTAGGCTAGGTGGTGACACAAAGTGATCACACATTATTTGCCATTCAAGACAGTGTACAATAAATTACTAAACTGGATAGACGTTACTAATAGAAATAGAAAGGGAGGCACCAAGAGAACTGTAATGAGAATGTTCATGGAGGAGGTCAGATTTGAGTAGGTCCTGGGAGCAAGAGTAAATTTGGGTATTCAGGGAGAAGTCTGCAGAGGCCAGAGAAACTGTCTAGTGACAGTTTTGTTTTCCTGTTCTTGCAGTTTCACATCTAATGGTGTGGATGTGTTTGAGCGTGGGATAGGTCAGGAAAGGGGACAGTTAAGAGGATTTCTGGGTAGTATCTACTAATAATTTTTTCCTTTTGATGTTTTCCCCCTTTTTTTCCTTTAATGAGTGAGTAGGGAGAGGAAAAAAAAATATTGTGATTAGACACATGGTAGAACTCGATTGGAAGTAGTCCCACTAGAATGTGGTTGTCATGCACGCAGTATAGAGCAATCATTGTTGACCCTGAAGGCTTAATTCTTAATTATTTTCCACAAAGGAAATTTCTAGCCAGCTGTAGATCGATTCCTAAAACCAGCAAATGGGCTCATAGATGCCACTAGTAACACGAATAGGGACAGGCAATCTAGACTATTAGACACAAATTCCAAACTAAAAGTATTAAAACAAGAACTTCCCAAGGATGAGTTTGAGAAGGTTATAACATTATCTTTGACTATTAAAGATGCCTTTTTTTTTTTTTGCCAAAAGCATACTTTGTTTTGTGAAGAGTAAGAAATCAAAGTGAAGTAGAAAATGTTAATTGTAAAAATTAACTTATAAAATTAAATTGTAAAAGATCACTTGCAGATGACTTTTGTATTCATTCATCCCATATTTGGGAGATGCAGAATGTTGTAGCACACATTAAACAAATCACTTCATACTTATTTAAAATATACACATAAATGAAAGTAGGAATGAAACAGCCCTCATTCCATTAACAATATGCATACCTAAAACTTTCATGAGAATAGTCATAGAAACAGTTCTGTTTCTTCAAATTATTAGTTGTTTTTACATAATACTATATGTAATGTTTCTTTCTGATTTATTTTTAGTTTAAATTATTAGTTGCATTTTAAGTAATCTTACCTGAGCTGGATTGTCGTCATCCAAGGTGATGGTTGTGTTAGATGCCTTGAAAATTAGAAACTTTTCTTCAAAGATAATCAATAAAGAAAATTTATGTAAAAGTCATCAAGATCCATTGTGTACTAAATTTTTAAAAATGTACTTATTTTGTGTGTAGTATAATTAAAAAAGTGAAGTACATCAAAAAATGTGTGTGGCCTAGGTTTGTTTGAAGAAAAGAATGCTTGTTCATAGGGTTGCTGTTGATTTGGCCTGCAGTTACTAAAGAAACTCCAAGGATCTTGTCGCCTTTATGGTTCATGTCTAGGCATGCCTGGAGACCAGGGAGACCCATGATTTAATCTAAGTAAGAATGCTTGTGGTGTTTAAAATGCCCAAACAGAAGATTGCATTTGTTTTAGACAGCACCAGGAAGGCACCTTTCAGGGGAGTTGTTTACTGTTTTAATTTCTATGCTTTTGGTGATCAAGGAGATGGGGAAGGAACTCTAAGGAGTGGAGGTGGAGTTGGTGATTAAGAAGAAACTAAGAAGAATATTGAAAACAAACACCTTCTACGTTAGCTTTGGCAAGTTTATATTGGTTTTTATTTACCACTCCTAGATAAAAGACCAGAGTGATAGGAATTGGGAGTTACAAAAGGTGGAGACAGCCTAGCCCTCCCTTCAACAAATGCAAACACACAATCTGAACATTTTGCTGTCTTCCAAAGCTTTTGAAGGATGTTGTTAAGGAAGAAAGAAATGAAGAATGAGACTGATTAGAAATTATTGGATTTTAGCAGTTTCCTTTTAAACCTGTGTTTAAATTCATGTTTTTTCTTAGGAAATATAAAACCATGTTTTGGTTTTTATAAAGATTATCAATGTCAAATTACCTTATTAACATTGATGATATACTTAGGAACTGAGTTGAGATTTTGAAACAAGACCAAATTGAAGGCAATTTGGTGCCTTTGAAGAACTGAAAATCAATGAATCTGTTTCATTCAAGCTAAAATAAACTGCCGGCAGTTTTTGTAATTCCATATTTTTGATTCTATTTCCTTATACTCTCAGTTGTAAGAGTACACTAGATTCTTAATTAGCTTCTTATTTATATTTATTGATTAAATGCTTTTGTTTTCAGTATGAGAGTGCTAATTTAGCTTTTAGGTAAGTAAATCAGAAGCAATCTAACAGAATGGGCTTCATAATTTAAGTTGCTGGAGCAAACATCTTGTGTATTTACTATCTTTATAGAACATAGTTTCCAGGGATTTATGGTCTAGTTGGAGAGATGTACAATTTGTATATATAGATAATTAAGATGGTTAAATTATGTTAATCATATTAACACAACATATGATATTAATATATAAATTAATATTCACATAATTTGTACCATTAATATAATGTTTATTTATATGCTATAGTTATGTCACATATAAATATATTACATATCAAGATGGTCAGATGAATAAGTGCTTCAGGAATACTGAATACTAATGTAAGCTTTATTATTGCCAGTATTTAGGAAAAAGAATATGCAAACTTGTAAAGGTTGGAACAGAGAGAAGGCTTCATGGAAAGGTGGGACTGAACTGAGATTAGAAGGGAAAGTAGACATAGGTGAAGAGGGAAAGTTCTTGGCAGCAGGAGCAGTTTGTGAAGGAAAAACACAAGCAAATTCATGGAGATGGTAATGCATATGGGCAGTGCGGCAGCAATGAATGGGTCTCCATTGGGAAATGAGATAGAGAGGCAGGTGAGTAGATCATAGAGGACTCTATTAGTACAGTGAGTTTCACTTTCTTTCTTCTGACCCAAGAGCCCCTGATGTGTATTGTGTGTTCCTTCCTCATCTGGAGATTAAAAGAGAATTGATTAGAAGAGGGAGAGACAGAGAAGATGGAAAGTCCATTTAGTAAATTATTTTAATAAATCTAGGTATGAAGTGATGTAGGAAATATGGATAAGTGGAAGACACTTTATGAAGGAAAATTTATAGGATTTGGTGACTGGTTTAAAGTGAAGAAAGAACGAGATTAACTTCCAGCTTTTGAGAACAAGTAGAGGGGGTCAAGAGGAGAAAATATAGTGAGAGGATAACTGTGATGAGTTTCAGTCTAGGCATGTCTGGCATTAGGTACTGGAAGAACTTTGTGGTGAAATCAGATATATGAAACTGAAATTCTGGAAAGACACAAGAACTGAAAAGAGAGATTTAGCAGTTTTCTGAAGCTGTGATAGTTAGCCATGAGGATGAAGGTACCAAGGAAGGTTCGTTGACTTTCTTCATTGACCCTCCATCATCTGCTGTGGTTCACCTACAATGGACAGAGTAGATGATTGATAATCATGCATTATTCTCAATTGGTGGAAAGAAGAGGGCTCAGGAGCAACTTCAAGAGGGTCCTTCTACTCAGGGGCTGGCAGGAGGAAGTATATTTTGAGAAGAGTTAGACCAAAGAGAGAAGCAAAAGAATAGAGTCTCATAAAAGCCACACTGTTTTAGACAAGGTCAGATATGCATATGAAGTCTAGGGAAATGGCTGCTTGGGTACCATCACATCATGAGGTTTGGTCAATGGAACTAGCCACAGGCAGCAGATGATTAGATTTGCTCTATAAGAATGTTTGTTTACAGCTTGATTCATTGAGTCTGTGAAGGATCAATGATCTCTAGGCTATAAATAGATTAACTTCCCTGGTAACTGTTTGGCCTCTGTCACCTCTCCAAAAAACTCGGGTGGATTTTCCAGCTTTGTAAAAGTAATTTCAGTGCAGCTCGTTAGTAGTCTTACGCAATGGTTTGAAGAAAGTTTTTTCTTCGTAAGAGCTCTAGAGTGTTTTCTTGAACTCTATGAAGCCCAAAGAAGGAATCTAACTATCTTGTGAAATTTATTTATTTATAATAATGATAATACTTTATGCCCTTCTCTTTAACATCCCTCCCTATGTCCCCCTAATTCTTGTTTTTATTTCTACTATCCTTCTTTGGCACCTATGCTTTCTTTTCTAATGGAACTTCCATATAGTATTTTTAAATTACATAACCCATAACTCATTCATTATCATCATTTTCCTTACACCCATGGAATATTATCTCAAAGATTTAATCATGCCTACATTTAGTAGAGTTCATATTGTCCTTTCCCTTCTTAGTTCATCTGTTACCTGTTTATCTACCTCTTGGATAGAAAACTTCCAGAAAACTTTAGCTCATGCTCATCCTCTTCTTTAATCACTTTTGAACTTAGTATGTTCACTCTACAATTTTAGCTGCCACTAGTAAAAATATTCTCTTATATTCTAATTGTATTTTGAATGCATCACTTAAATATAAGTATGGAGTGCTGATATATAGATACAAATATTTACTTTATTTGTGAGTGTGGTGTATATAGGTATTTTTCTTACACTCTGAATTATTTGTAGTGAGTTATCTTGGTTTCTAACTTGAAAATTTGTTTGAATAGCTATTCTAACTTCCTTTAAACATAGCTTGAACATAATGGGACTAAATTTATGTGGGGGTTATAGAATCAATTCGTTTATTGTATAAAATGGTGCTACTTATTGCTATTTTTTTTTTTAAAAAAACACAGTTTCCCTGACAGAAGTAGAGTGTTGCCAAAACATCTTCAGACCCCTACCCCCACCCTTAGCAATGACATGCATTTGCAAATGGATAAGTCATCCTAGAAATATAACTTGTAGTTTATGGAAGGCATGCTGAAGAAATCAAATAGGCTAAGAATAAGACTGGCTATTAAGTCCAGAAAATATGGTCAATTTAGATTATAGCTCAAATTAATTTGCCTGTTTTAAACTGTTATAACCATACATATTTTCATCTTACAGATGAAGCTGAAGCTTAGCTAAAAACCAAGAAGATAGTAGAACAAGATTTTCACATTTTACTTTTTTTTTAATTGATTAACCTTAGCCATTAGGTTTTTATTACTCCATTTAAAAAAAAAAGAAATGCAGTTATGGAACCTGTTACTTTTACAAGGTAATTTTCATGCTTTGTACCATTTGATTTTGTTACAGGTATAATAAGAAGTTAAAATACATCTTCGACGTTTTCCTTCTTTCCATTCATCCTCATTTAAAGTGGTTAGAGGCCTCATTTTCCCTGTTTTCTGTGGTGCCTCAGCCAGCTTAATCAGTGTCTTCATGTGAACCTCTACAGGCAGAACACAATCCTTTTGTTCTACTACGGTTAACTCATCTGACAGTTTCAAAAAGAAATCTTTGGCCAAGCATGGTAGTGTACACTGTATCAGCTACTCAGGAGGCTGAGGCAGGAGTATGGCAAGTTGGAGGTCAGCTTAGGCAACTTAGCAAAATCCTGTCTCAAAATTTAAAAAAAGAGCTGGGGATATAGCTCAGTGAGTGGTAGAATGTCCTGGGTTTACTTCCCAGTACTGGAAAAAAAAATCCTGGAATGATACTGTTTTAAGCAAAGGAATAAATGTCATATAATGGAAAATTTAGACATTACACAGGAACAGTGAAAGTTTTTTTTATTTTTTATTTTTGGTCATTCAAATTTTGATATTGGCTTAGACTGACCCAAGTTGAGTCTTTTGCTAAATTCTAATATCCTTTCAATGGACATTACTACCTGGGTGTTTAATTGCCATCGAAAATTCAGGGTTCTTCAATCTTAAATAATCGTCACTCATTTTATATTGGCTCTTCCACTAAACTCATCAATTATTTCAAACTTAAGATTATTCTCTTGGTTACTAATGCTTGAAGTAATTTTTGAGTATGTGTGTGTGTGTCAATCTGCATTTCATTGCTGTAACCAAAATACCTGACACAAACAACTTAAAGAAGGAAAGCTTTTTGGGCTGGGGCTATAGCTCAGTGGCAGAGTACCTTCCTTGAACATATGAGGTACTGGGTTTGATCCTTAGCACCACATAAAAATAAATAAATAAAGATGTTGTGTCCACCTGCAACTAATATACATATATATATATATATATATATATATATATATATATATGTTAAAAAAAAGAAAAAGGAAAGTTTTGGCTCACAATTTCAGAGCTTTCAATCCATGGCTGGCAAGTCTTCATTACTTTTGGCTTAAGATGAGGCAGATCAACATGTAAGAAGGGTATGGCAGAGTAAAGCTGTTCACCTCCTGGCAGTCAGGAAGTACAGAGTGAGAGAGGGGCTGGGGAAGATATAGTTCCCAAGGACTCTCTCCTTTCAATTAGGCTCTACCTCCTACAGTTTCCTCCACCTCTCAATAGTCTATTTGCATTATTAATCCATCAAATGGATTCATTCACTGATGAAGTCAGAGCCCTCTTGATAACA